CATGACTGGCAAAAGGTGAGTGGGTGGTTGAGTTATGCAGGAAGAGAGAATCATAAGAGGTTATAGTGTCATTTCTGTAGAAGAGAAGACAGTCCAGAACCTTTTCAGTATATGAGGCTAGTGTAACTTGCATGTTTAATTTTGCATACAGAGTCAAACATGCTGTCTCTGAAGATACAGAGGTGTTCCAAGGAGAAGGTTTGGGGAAAACACCTGATGGGTAAGACATAAATCACCTCTATTAGACTTCTTGGCCAAACTTTAAAATGTTACAACTGAGTGTAAATGCTGTGAGTGCATTTCTGTGCCTTCAGTGTGCATAAATTAAGCATTTTCCCTTCTTCTGATGGTTGCTGGCAGCCATGGCCTGACCACATACAAGGAGCTTTGCTCCTTGGCCAGTGACCTAAACCAACCTGATCTTGTTTACAAGTTCATGAACCTGGCCAATCACCACGCCATGTGGAACTCCCGCAAGGTATCACACTCCATCCTCTTTGTCATCCATTACATGTGCCCTTATGTACTCCCTCCTCTCACCTAACCTTCTATCCCCCCCACCTGTCAGGGAGCAGCATTTGGATTTCACATGATTGCTGCCAAGGCCGGGGAGCAGATGGCTCCATTTCTGCCCCAACTTGTGCCTCGCCTGTACCGCTACCAGTTTGACCCCAATCTGAGCATTCGCCAGGCTATGACCAGCATCTGGGATGCCTTGGTCACTGATAAGACCCTGGTAGGAGCTGATACTAGTACAGGATAAGAACATGTCTAAGAAAGGATTCACTCAAGCATGTACAAGCGCATGTATGTAAATGCAGAATGAAATGGCTGCCACCTTCAGAAAGGATCATATGTGCATGTTTTTGTTCTGATGTGTCTCAGGTGGATAAATATCTTAAAGAGATCCTACAGGATGTCATTTCCAACTTGACCAGTAACACCTGGAGAGTACGTGAGTCCAGGTACAGTATCTACTGTATCTCCTCACAGCTGACTAATGAATTTGTGTGGGGGTTTATTGGCCTGCATTTTTCCTTTTACATGTTTCACATCTAATCTCTGACCTCAAGAATACTTCAATGACCTTGACTGTTGTAATTATAGTAACTATTGCAATTATGGTAATACAGCAGTAAACTCATACTGTAGCAGTTTTGGCAACTTGCTCTGAAAAAGAAGGTCAGCAAGAGGCCCATGTTGAAATATAGTAGTCCAAAGAAGTGTATTTTGATGAATTGATTTTTCTGCCAGCTGCCTTGCCCTGAATGACCTGATTCGTGGCCACCAGGCTGATGATCTCATTGATCATCTTGCAGAAATGTGGGAGACGCTGTTCAGAGTCCTTGATGACATCAAGGTGAGCAGGAATCTGTGCTGCTTTTATCCTGCGAAGCACTTGATTGAACTGTCACATTGCAGGATGATGAAAATATTCCATAGTAAGGATATCTTATAGATTATACACGACATAATTTATAACAGTAGATTATAAAATATAAATGTTTCAGGAATCTGTGAGGAAGGCTGCAGACCTAACATTGAAAACACTCAGTAAGGTACGTACATAACACTGGCCTGTGCACGTGTTGTTGTTTGTTTGTGCATACATGTGGTTATCCAAGTGTATATCCCTCCACATAGTTTCTTTCATGTCCAGGTGTGTACGCGTATGTGTGAGTCTACAGGCTCCACAGCCCAGAGAACTGTGGCCATACTGTTGCCGACACTGCTGGGAAAAGGCATTGTCAGCAACGTCTCAGAGGTCCGTTCACTCAGGTACTGTCTTTCTCTATTGACGTGGTCTTGGCTTTGTTGTGTGACCTGACGTTTTAGTAGTATGGTGCATAACATGGATTTTCTTTTTGTCAGCCACAGAACGATTAAACCAAATGCTCATCAGCTTACAGTATATCTACATATAATCCTGCAAAGATCAGAACAGGCAGAGTCTTTCTCTTTATAAGTCCTTGAAATTCCTTGTTCTCCAAAATTACCACAGTCAAAAGAAATCTGTGGTTGAAATTTTCCCAGGTTCCTTCAGTCACCACCATCCCAAGCTGTAATAGATCTGTGCTATATCACCCGGCTTGTTCTCTCTCAACCCCTCTGTTTTATTCCCCACCAGTATCCAGACCCTCGTAAAGATAAGTAAGACAGCCGGTGCCAGACTAAAACCTCATGCATCTCAGCTCATCCCAGCCTTGCTGGAGGCCCTCAGCACCCTGGAGCCGCAGGTCCTCAACTACCTCAGCCTCAGAGCCACAGAGCAAGAAAAGGTAACCTCAGGTGTCTGCCCACATCGTTACCCAAATTTGGTGACTATAGCTTGTAAGGTTTATCACAGGTTAGAGTCCACATAGTTCTGTTTTTTGTCACTCCAGAGTGCCATGGATGCTGCCAGGCTAAGCGCTGCCAAGTCTTCTCCAATGATGGAGACCATTAATATGGTAAAAAGAAAAGATTTTGAGGTTTCTACTTCAAAACCTGACATATCATAAAGAAGAGAGAATAATGTTGTGTGTGTGTGTGTGTGTGTGTGTCCCTGTGCCCAGTGTCTGCAACACCTTGATGTTTCTGTGCTGGGAGAGCTGGTTCCCAGGCTCTGTGAGCTGCTAAAGAGTGGAGTAGGCTTGGGCACCAAGGTAAAACTTTCTTTTACCTTTTACCATTTACCATTTTAGACATTCATTCATATACTAACTCTTAGATTGCATCTTCCTCTTTTACATCCATCCACTTTGTTCTCTAATATTTGTAAAGTTATCAGGTATCTAATGTTTCCCTACTCTTTCATAGGGTGGCTGTGCTAGTGTCATTGTCTCACTGACAGTGCAGTGTCCCCAGGACCTTACCCCATACTCGGGTACAACACAAGTTTCTACTTGTTCATGTAATGTCTTGAATATTTGGTGCAAGTGAATGAATAGCGGTGATATTTGTGGTATTTCCAGGTAAACTAATGAGTGCCCTGCTGAATGGTATCAATGACAGGAGCACTGTAATACAGAAAGCGTTTGCCTTTGCTTTGGGACACCTTGTCAGGGTAAGCACCACTTTTGATGAGTAACAACTACATCTTAGGTTGTTCTCAGTGACTCAGTAAGCATGATTTGTTCTATGTATTTGCCCC